TAAACCTTTTTCTTATCTTTTTTTTTTTTTTTTCTGAGTTCTTGGTCAGTTAACTTCATTCATGAATTTTTGGTCCTTAAATTAGTTTTGTTGGATTCTCTTATTCTCTTGTTTTATTTGGCAAGACATTTCTATGTAATGAAATTTCCCATTTGGACCAAGAATTTACAGAAATGGATCATTTTCATTCTTGTGTGCTTGTAATTTCTAGACCTTCATTCTCATTTTCTGATCTTTTGTTTTAATGCAGGTAATAGTGGTTGTAATTATTTTAGTGCCATTTGCACCTTCTTTTGGACATGAAGCATCACATCCTCTCAAATGATCATGGAGCTCATCTTTTTGGATATCTATTTTGTTTTGGACAATGCAAGTATCAAATCTTCTCATACTTCATAGGATTGACTTTGTGGGATTAGTTAAAGACAATTTTTAAACTTGCCATGATGTACTAGAATCATATTGAGTAATATTAATTTAAAGTATATTAGCCTTTATGTCTTCGGTTTTGCTTCTATATATTAATTTCTTTTTGTAGAATTAAAAATTATGGGATATATATAGATTAGATTTTTTAAATAAAAAAATTTCAACGACATCTAACTTTGTGTCATGAAAAATATTTCAATGACGTCTCAGGAACGTGGTTAAGTTCATTGACGTGCATGTTGCGTCATATAAAGTGCTAATAGACGGCGTTAAAAGGAATGTCATATTCTTCATGACGCCTAATTGACGTCATTAAAACATCATCCATGACCTCGTGGACGCGTCATGGAAAGTATAGGACAATACACAGACCGCGTTGTTGAAACATCATTCTATGACGCGTAACAGACACCATGTTTTAAAAAAAGTTTCCATGACCCCCCCTTTTGACGACGTGTGTTACAACGTCTCGTCCGCGTCATTAAACGCCTTCCATGACGCAAATCAGACGTTGTGGAAGGGTTTTTGTCTTGTAGTAAAAGCAAAATCAATTCAATTGAACTATTTAATTAACCCTAAATAGCCTAAACATCGTCAAATTGAACTCAAAAATAGCTCAACATAATCAAATTATACTTTAAAAACAGAATCTATTCAATTCACATTTTAAAACATATCCAACCAATTCACATTAACCCTAAACCCTCAGTACCGCTCAATTCACAATTTTATTAACCCTAAAACATATCCAAAACATAATTAATAAATAATTTATAAACTTAATGAACAAAACATAATTGCTAGATTAAAACCCCAACTCAAAGTTTAAAGTTTCGAAGTTCAATTTCAAAAATTGGGTAAAAAATTTACCTGAAGAGGAGGAGATAACGATGTAGAGACGATGATGAGTGACTGAGAGAGGCGGTGAGGTTGATGAGTGTCTCTCTGGAAGGAAGAGACTCTGATACTCAGATGAGAGACCAAAGAGAGACTGAGATGAGGCGGTGAGGTGGACTAAGAGACTGAGAGCGGCAACGATGATGAGTGACTGAGAGAGGTGGTGACATTGCGAGAGAGAGAGAGAGAGAGAGAGATGAGATGTGCGAGTGATTGATTTGACAGCTAGGATTGATCGAAACTAAGAAATCCTAGCTGTTAGTGAAAATAAAATGTTTATAAATATTTAATTAAATTATTTGCGGTATACCGCAAAATTGAGATTTTCATAATCGCATCGACAACCGCATAGTGTGGTCGGTTCAAAAAACAGCAAATTACGGTTGGTTTTGCTGTGATGACGATTTGATTGCGTGAATAGTCGGTTGGTAACTGCGATTTTGCGGTATATCGGTCTAAAATGTCAGCCCTAGAGAATATAGGAGAGGGAGAAGAACAATGGCTTCCTCCACCTCAAAGTGAAAACGGCACTAAGAGTGTTTTCAGGAAGAGAGGAGGCTTAGGGTTTAGTTTTCCTCTCCATTTGTAACAAGGTGAGATGTTTTCTAAAATAAAATTAAAAAAGGGGGAAGGTGAGACATGGAAGATGAGATGATAGTGAATTACTTGAAACAATAAGAAAATTAAAGCAAAAGTAACAATCAATTGAAAGTATATCATTTTAGCTTTTAAGGTAAATATTAAAAAATTTGTATTCATTTTTTCTACTCTTGATGCTGGTAAAATTTGTGCAAAATATTATGAATGAATTCCTATTTACCAAAGTTACTTTTGTGGATAATGTTTCTCAATCAGTAAATAAGATCCTAAGGAAAATGAAAAAAGATTGATGAAGAAAAAAGGACAAATAGGAAAATAGTATAGGATATAGATTACATTCGAGAAGGTTACGGAAAGCGGGTAAGTGCTGGAGCGTTCGGTCAGAGCGTGGGAACAATTTTAAAGACGTGTCCGATTCGGTAAATTCCCATCCCAAACCAAAATCAAAGCAACGCGGTGGTGGATTTTGATACCTCCGCAGCGGAGTCAGACGAAGAAGGAGACAGAAACTGAGAAATTGAGAGAGAAGACGGAGATGGCTGTGAACCCTCAACTGTTCCCTAATGGCATGCCTGTTCCTTTTGTGAACGAGATGTTCGTTCTCGCCAGAGACGGCGTCGAGTTCGAGGTCGATAAGATTCCTGGGTTCGTTCTCACTTCTCAATTCCCTTCTCCTCAATCATCTTCATCATCATTCAATTTGCCATATTCTCTTACAAGTTTGATTTAATTGATGCCTCTCCTCCTCTTTGAAACATGGCCTTGCGCCTTAATTTGATTTTGCCAACACTAATTCATTCATTCATTCATTCTGCTCTTTCAGTACCGAATTTGAATAAATAAAAATTATGGGGTATTGATTTGAAATTTGATTGAATGTATGCCCAAAATCGTAGCTTGATTGATTTGTGTTGGGAGGGTGCAAGAATAAAAATGAGTAAATTGTTAATTTAATCCCATTTCCTGTTCTATTGGAGTGGGAAGATCGCAGTGTAGCAATTGCATAATTTGGTGTTGAATTGTGTATTGCCTTCGACTTTCAGATCTGATGGTGGTCGTCTTAAAGCAAAGGGGACAATCTACTTGTCAAATATACGCATGGTTTTTGTTTCAAACAAGCCTGTTGGAAACTTTATTGCTTTTGATTTGCCCCTGGTATGTGATACTTCGTTTTACCTCAACATTGCTTTCCTTCCATCGTTATATTGCGTTTTCTTTGAGAGGTTCACTTGTAACTGAGTCAACTCGCAAAGTTTCTTTGCACCTAATGATTCTTCTGTAACCCTTTTTGTGTGATTGTGGGGTTTCCATGACTTGTGGTTTTGATTTCCTGCATAGTGAATGTATCTTGAACAAAGCTTCCGACTTTTATTTTGATGCCAAAATATGTTAACAAAGGAAGTTTTAACATTTATTGTTCTCTGGTGTAAGTCTCTGGACTTTTGTTCTTATTTTAATTGTGATTATAACTGTGGAAGGTAGTCTCAAGAAGAGATTGGGATATTTTTCCTACGGTAGATTTAGCGTGTACACATGGGAAATGTTCAGGGTAAAAAAAATAGCTTTTAGGTTAAGATTAGAGTATTGTGAACTACATTCAGACTTTGTTTATGTCAAATACTTGTATTTGATGTTACTTCTGAGTTCTTCTTTCCCTTTTATTATAAGTGTGATTTAGATGAACTTTGATGATTTGTCTGCAATATATGTTACTTTGGGCTATTTAACATAGTTTGTAAAATCCTTGATACAATCTTATGATTGGATCTCAAGTGCTCTCTTAGGTAGGATCCTGATTTTGAAAACCCAGCATCTAACTTCCATTATCTAACAAAGAGTAATTCAAAATTATAATATATTTAATCAACCTTTTATGTCACAATTTTGTCACAAACCTACAGCCAGCCATGATCCACCACTACAACAATCCTAATTTTCCCAGTGAATCACTTTTATCCCACAGCAGTAATTTGCCACTATTTCTAACGACCGTTGGATATTATCCTATCCAACAGTTGCCGGGTTTCAGGTGTTCACTGGTTCCTAATTCTAGGGCCTCAAGTGAGTGCTATTATTATTATGTGTAAGGCTTAAAAGTGCTGTTGTCTCTGGTGATTCACTTGCTTGTTTGAAGTTTGTAAGGATTCTTTTGTCTTGGTGCAGTTTTGGCACAAATTTGATGTCTTTTGCTGTCGCTCTTTTATATCCATTTATTTGCATCTCACTGACCTTTGTGTTGGTTCATTGTTCAGCTTTATGTCCATGGTGAAAAGTTCAATCAACCAATTTTTTTCTGCAACAACATTTCTGGTCAAGTGGAGCCTGTAAGTATATAGTTTAGAGGATTTCAATTATTGTACATAAACCCTTTTATGATTTTGGAGATCTTATTTGTCTTGATGACTAATTTTAGGTAGTTCCAGAAAATCAGCATGGGGCTCTTTATTCCACTCACTCATTCAAGATTTTGTTCAAAGAAGGGGGTTGTGGAACGTTTGTTCCGCTTTTTTTCAACTTGATCTCCTCAGTGAGACAATATAATCAACATCAACACCCCAATGCAGGACCGCAGCCTCGTGTTGATCCTTTACAGGCAGCGCAAACTCCTGTTGATGAGATGATGAGACATGCGTAAGTGACATATTTTGCACATAATTGCCATGTGTGCTTGTAGTCAAATGGATTTAGAGAAGGATCGCTGGTTAAACTATGATTTTTTATTTTGCAGGTATGTCGATCCTAATGATCCAACGAGGATCTTCTTGCAGCAGCCTACTCCAGAGTCTCAGCTGAGGCGGCGCACGTACCAGTCACAGCCCGCAGGACAGTAAATGTAGTTTTAATTATAAATAAACGTACATGTTATAAGAACCTCCAAAAGCGTGCTGTGTAACCGAATTATAGAAGACTGTTTCTACTTGTATATTCACTGAGATGTCTATTTACTCTTTTATTGTGAAGAAGAATCCGTTGAATCTTTCACTGTGGATGGATTACATTTTGGCCATGAATATGCGATTCAGAATATGGTGCAAGCCATACATGGCATGGCACGATTTTATGCTTCACAAGTGTAAAAAATACAATTTTCAAAGCCTCAACCATTCAATTAGGAAGACAGACGCAGGGAGCTCCTTTTGAGCCACAACTGGTAAGCAGTCATGTAGAAAGAGTCATAGCCCTTAGGAGTCTCATACCAAACAAAATGCCTACGAACTTTATACAAATTATGGTACATGCTCATGTACTTTCGTCTTGTTATCGACAACAATGTCCTCTTCAACAAGGCAACATCGCCATTGTTGACAATAACTGAAAACTTGCTCCAGTCCAATACATTGGCAAATGGAAGCTCGTAGTGGTTGGAAATTATAACAGGAACGCACCCATAATGTATGGCATCGCTCACCCTAGCCGTGTTGACCTCATAGCCTTTAACATGGAGGCAATACTTGCTCCTCCTAAACCCCTCCTCATAAGGGTAAGATGGTTGCCCTGGGAATATATCCATGTATGTGTCATTGCCCCATAAATCTACCAGCTGCTGCCGGATCTTAGAGTTTTGATTTCGCCCCGCAAAGTACACAAGCTTATCCCTGCATCCGGAAAAATTATGTTGTTAAACTGCCAATCTAAACAATCCAAAAATAAAATATATCAACTAAAATGTTGGATTACAAATACAAATCTCAATTGAGGAAAGTGCGTGATTTAAGGGTTACCTGGCGTGTGGGGGGTTGAGGGCATGCTGAGGAGGGCGAGGCCAAACTTGGGGCAAGGCAACATCTTTGTGGGTAACATAGAATCTTTGGAAGTAGCTGGAGGAGCATGTGAGCTGAATGGCATTGTTGCGCAACCCAACATGTTTGGAGGAGGCCTCTCGACAAACAGAGTGACAGCAGGCATAGAAATGGTCAGACCCTAGAGAGGCATTCCAGAAGGGCAAATCTTGGCTGATGCTGGTGGTGTATCGGGCAACAAAATCTGCAATGGACGGCTCAGAATGGACACGTGGGTCGTTTCTGAGGAGATTGACTGAGAAGGGTAGGAAGAAGAGATGGGCTTTTTCTGGGTTGGTGGTGATGAGGGAGCTGCTAAGCAGAGACAGCTTGAACATGTGCTCGCTGAAGTAGTTTCCGAGTTTTGGGTCGAATGGGTTTGGGTGGGGAAGGAAAATGGAAGCAGAGGAAGCAAAAGTAGAAGAAGCAGAATTGGTGGGATAAACATAAATCTTGAAGCTTTGGATCATATCTTCAAAGTCAGCAGCAAAGAGCTGCCAGTTGTGGTAAGGACCTGAATCTACAGGAAGAGTGATGTGTGGTGTGGGAGGAGAAGCTGAGAGACGACCCAAATTGGAAGGGCTGCCTTCTTCTTCTGACGAATGGAGGAGAAAGATGGCAAACCATGAAGCTGAAGAGACTGCCAGCAGCAGAAGCGCGGTCAGGAGCAGCCGGCGTTTGAGTTTAGGCATTTTGTTCAAAAATAAGCACACAGACTTCATCTTTGGTTGTCGATCCAGACTTGCTGCTAGCATAGAGAAGCTCGCTGAGTTGTCACAAACCGACGATAAATAATACAAAGGATTAAAAAAAAACATAAAATCCACCTAAAATTACAAAACATGCCATTTATTTGTTTTTAATTGACACCTTCAAAGATTTGGTTTACACATGAATTTATTAATTAAAATATGAATCTCTAATTAACTGAAATCATACAATATTGAAATCCTAATAAATACATTTCTATGTGAAATTATTCAACCATTTTTTTGGTATTTCCTTGAGCAACCCGAAGTTGGCATACAATAGAGAGGAAAGAAAGCAAATTTCGATACATGAAAGTAAGAACATGCTCCAATAAGGATTTTATGGTGTTGAGGCCCAAAAAAGCCAAGGTTGGGTTCAAATATATTGAAACCATAGAAATTGTGAGAAAAACTTGGAAATTTTTATTGAAACTTTGGAGAATGTTTATTTAGTCAATTATCTATTAGTTTATCACAAAAAAAATTAGAAGGAAATGCATTACATGATGGATTTAACTGATTTAAGTTGATTATACAACGAGCTGACAAATACTGTGAGTGTAGAAAATATGTAGTAATTAATGAAAAAAGATTAAACACACTATAAATCATTTATATATAATGATTTACTACAATATTTTACACTTTATACATTGTATGGTAAGATACATGAGTGACTTAATACCACATAGAGTTCCTATGAGGTTCAAATTTTTCACTATCTTCATCATCTCTATGTGTAGAGTAAGTGTATTGTGAAGAGCAGTCATCAAATGATAAATCCCCAAAATAGTTTTGCATGTAATTGTTAACATGCCATCCATATAAATATAAATATTTTAGCATATTATCACAAAAATATAAGTGATATGGCAGTTAAGGTGTTGGAGGAGTAAAATGGGAGGGGTTCAAATCCCCTTTGTGTTTTTTTTCTCCCTTGTTTCCCCTTTTGTTTTTCTTTTTTTTCCTTTTTTTTTTCCTTTACATCGATATTTTCGATATTTTAGCGATATTACATCGATATTTTGACAAAATATTGCTGAAGTGTGAGCGAAATTATCAACATCAATATTTTCCGATATTATCGTCAATATTGTCGATATTTATACGATATGTACATGGATATGTTCCGAAATATCTGTGATTCGAAAAAACTGAAATATCCTCGATATTTCATCGATATTATCGATATTTCAGACTATGATGCTAAGTGAATTGTTAAATTGTAAAATGGAGAAAGATCCCATGAAGTGAGAAAGGGAGATGGAAGAAGGAAAAGAAGACAAATGAGCAAATAAACAAGCAAATTTCACACACCATGCCAAAAAGAAGAAACATATCAGAAAAAGAAAAATATATATATCAGTATTAAATTGCACCAAAATTAATTGAGTTGTAATAGGAAATGCCTAATTTTCTAATTATTTGCTAAAACTTGTTTATTTTATATTGGCGTTTGACTTCATTATGATGAACCAATGAAGAGGGGCGTTTGGAGGGTGTGGGGCTTCAGGTTGGGCCACATCACCATATTTTCTGATTATTTATGTTGAAAGCTAAAGAAAGAAGATGAAACCAGCTTCTCCATTTTGAAGAAGAGTGACAGGAGAGTGGAATTTGCAGAGAAGATACAAGCTTTCGTTGTTGGGTTACAACAATTTGACGTCTTTCACAAGAAAAAAGCATGGCCAGTTGGGTAAGGAGCCCGCAGCCTCATCCCCATCTCCATCCTCATCAATCTTTCAACAAGCGGCTGCTAATTCAACCGCAAAGTCGTACTTTCAGGCTTTCAAATTCCCATCGCCATCTTCGGAGGAGAATTTACTGTAACTATGATGACGATGCCACCAAGAAACCATCACAACCGCAAGCTCCACAGCCAACTGGGATTAAGCTCTACTCTGAGATTGAGAGGTTATGTTTTGTTATGCCCCTTTCTTTCAGCTCTGTTATGATGGCTGATGCAATTGTTTATTTGCCATCGGGTTAAATCTACCCTCCAATTCAAAGCTTGTTCTTTTATCTACTTCCAGATTACTTACGGAGACTGTGAGGCAATCCCAAGGTCGCTGGGATGGTTCAAGCGACTGGACTCAAGTGGAGGTGTAATTTCATTTCATTCTCTTATTGCTCTTCAGATGATCACACGTTTGCTCTTTTTTTAGTGCACAAAGCTTTTCTGGATAAGTTGACCAATCACCGGATTTCAAATTTTGTTCTCTTATGTTTATATGCTGTGATGAATTATGTCTTGGGAATCATTTACAGGTTGTTTATTTAGTTAAAAGGAGATTATGCAGGTGAATTCTAAACGCAAATTGGCTTTAGGTTGAAACTTGATCGAATTTGCATATTCTTTTTTTTAAGTTACAAAAGCAAGATTTATAATATTCAAAACCATAAGAACAAACAATATATGTCAAACACCCCACACAAATTATGCTCTCATTAGTAAGGACTGAAGCAGCCAGATAGTTAATCTTAGTGGACATTGAAAATGAAAGACGACTAGACCAACCAGGTAGTGGCTGCAAGTGTTAATCCAAGAAACTTTCTCGAGCATTTCATAAAAGTCTGACTTGAAAGCCGGCTAACAATGTTTCAAAGGAGTATGTGTTGGACAGTGTCTATACAAAAGCAGCCTCTCTCTCTCTCTCTCTCTCTCTCTCTCTCAGTGAAGGATTCGTAACCGCACTAAACCAATCTATCATTATCTATCTCAGGGGGCATGGGTTCTCAAACCAAAAACCTCAGAACCCAAGGCCGTTGTACATTTTATTGGTGGCATATTTGTTGGAGCTGCCCCTCAGCTTACCTACCGCATGTTTCTTGAGCGCCTCTCAGAAAGGTGAGATTCAATTCAAACTTTGGTTGTCTGGTAATGAGCTTGTATAGTCCATATCATGCTAGTATAGCTATGTAATACATATGTACACTTTGGATCCCTATGTTACATGATTCAATCTGTTTTCTTTAAAGGTCCAGAGCATTGTGGTTGTTATAGAAAGTTGTGTTTGGTCCTAGTGTATCTACTATTGGTAGATTATGATGGAGTTTTCTGCTTTTGAGAAAGAAGAAAAATATGATGCAGCCTTTTCTGTGCTGTAGGGGTATTTTGGTGATTGCAACACCATATGCTAGTGGATTTGATCACTTCTTCATTGCAGATGAAGTCCAATTCAAATTTGATCGGTGTTATCGGTTTCTTAAAGAGACGGTGTGTTTTTATTTATTATTTTCAGAATCTGTTTGTTTGTTGTTCTGCTTAATTTTCTTCCCTAGGTAAACAAAACCTAAGATTCTTGATTATACAGGTTCAAGATCTTCCTACTTTCGGCATTGGCCATTCTTTGGGATCTGTCATCCACCTTCTGATCGGTATTGCCACCTTTTCGTTTTTACCTAACAAACTGTTCTTACGGGTGCAAATGATTGGGGTTTTATAAATTCACTACGTTAGTGACTCCGGTCAGGTTCAAGATATGCTGTTCAAAGAAATGGGAATGTGTTGATGGCATTCAATAACAAGGTATTTGACCTCCTGAATTCATTATTATACATGTCAGAACTTGATGAGAAGAAACGAAATTGAGATAACTAGAGGTGGAATCCTCTCTTTTAAAAATTTAAAGGTGCAGCATTTCAGCTCATAATTCTATAGAAAGAAATTTAGCAGCACATCCTTTATATTCCCCCTTGTTTTTGCCTAGTTTCTTTGTGTGACCAAGAGGATAGAAATTTTCAAGATTATTTCTTTTTTAACTTTTACATTTTTCTTCCAATTCTTTTTTCATCTAGGCAGAAACCAGTTGAATTGTATACGTTCTTTTCTTATCTCATGCCCTCAACACATGCATCATGTTTACTTCATGGAAAAGGAACAAAAAATAAGAAGTAAAACTTACACGCAGACACCTGCAGAATCACTCTATATATGGTTTGTCAAACTATTTCTGTACAACGTTTGAGATTGAAATTTTGTGTTCTTCCTTGATTTAACAGGAGGCAAGCTCAGCTGTTCCTCTGTTCTCACCTGTTCTTGTTCCAGTGGCTCAAGGCCTCGGACCAATTTTATCACAGATTGCATCATCACCAACGGTCCGCTTTGGGGTGAGAGTTCTATTATTAATGTCTTATATATGTGCGTGTCTATATATATGTATATTTTAGTTTTTGAACCATGCCACATAGAGCTTGATTATATGATCATCTCATCAAGTAAGTGCATTTATTCATTTCTAGCCATTAATATGTTTAGTAACAACTGTCTCATCAATTCTTATGAAAATGCTTCCAGGCAGAAATGACTTTGAAGCAATTTGAAAACCTTAGCCCTCCCATCATGAAGCAAGTTCTTCCTTTAGTTGAGCAGCTCCCTCCCTTGTATATGGACTTAGTTAAGGGAAGAGAAGATTTTGTTCCAAAACCTGAAGAAACTCGACGACTTGTAAGCAAACCTATAACTATTTACAAGTTAATTCTATACTTCCCTTAATCAAATCATTGTACTTTTTTTATTATAAGAATTCAAATTTGTGTTAAGGTTTACAACTTACATTTTCCATTTATTGACATTTTCTTCAGATAAAATCATACTATGGTATTTCCAGGAATCTTCTGGTGAAGTTTAAGGATGATACAATTGATGAGACTTCGATATTAGCACAGTTGCTAAGTTCAGAGTCAGCCATCAGTTCTATGCTAGACATGTCAATTCGCTTATTGCCTGGAGATCACGGGCTTCCTTTGCAACAGGTGATTTTTGTGCCAACCATTTAGTGGGGAATATATTTCCATAGCTTTTACTTATGGAAATGTATGCGTAGAATCCCTGAGTGCAGTTCCAATTTGTCCATCTCTGTCAACGAGACAAGCGATTTAGATAATATTTCTGTCGTGCAGGCCCTCCCAGACGTGCCTCCAGCAATGGCAGATGCAGTAAATCGTGGAAGTGAGATGTTGGCCAATCTCACCGTGGGGACGCCATGGGAGACAGTTGCTAAAGAAATAGGCAACTCATTAGGCGTGGATTCAAAGATCCTTCGTGCAGAAATATCTAAAGACGTAGGCCTGCTTGTGGATGTGGTTGTATCTTGGATAGCTTCCAACACAGTTCCAAAGCTTTTGAAGCCGTGAAGAGTTGGACAAACAATAGCATACACATGAGAGACAGCAATTGTTATCTCACTTAGACAAGGATATGATATTTAACAGGACAATGAAAGGAATTGATTTGGAAACAAAGTCTTGTTCATATTCAGTTTTATCCTCATTTCATGTAATTTCAGAGACGCCCAATTATAGAAGTAATCAAACATGTTTTTACACAACCAAGCCTTTGTTTAAATGCATATATACATCATTTGTGGTTTGTAAGGTGTGACAGAAACAACAAGCATTTTGAAACAAGAAGACTCTTCCATTTGATTCATAAATATCTGACTTTGTATCTAATGTCTACAGCATTAGACATGAATGGATCTGCAGTGTTCACACCTTTATTTGTTTCCCACAATCCGACCCATATAAATATGAGACCAGTTTATAAACTTTATATGACAGCTCATTTGTCAGATATTTACATCAACAGGCAGAACGTACTATCTGACTTCATAACGAACTAAACAAAAAGATGCCACAGTGAGCAGGTCAACCCTCCTGCCGTCCTGCGTCTAATCTTCATGATACAGATAGAGGCCAAGGCCAAACCGAGCACATGCTCTGCAGAAAGCTATTTCCTCCGCTGCGGTAACTGGATCAGCATTGTGGCCATCACTGGGTGATACTGTTCCAGTTGACTCACGGTGTGCCTGAAATTGGTGTGTCAGAACATCTGTAAGAAATTAGGACTGTAATAAAACATCATTCATGTTCAACTCTATCGGCCTAGGGTCAAGTCGCAAATAGCCAAAGTAACACTGGATAGACTTCTTTTTTCTTTAATTATGTCACTCGTGTCTTGTTAACTGAAAGATCGAACTTGGGGCACCTTAGAGCATTTGAACTTGTAGAGATAAAGGATATGAAAAGAATCCATGGCAGTTAAATCACATTAAACATGGTCAAAACCCCACTTCCCAAAAAAAAGCATCCAAGGAGTAATTGAACACCAAGTTACCTCACTGCCTTTAGTTTTCAACTGGAAGAGACAGACAAATTCTAATTATTTACTTCAGTTCATTCAGTTGCCTTGTTTCAATAGTGTATTGTCCAGGGTAAAAGGTTTGTGCCCCTTTAGATATCATCTACTCGCCTGCAAAAACATTTTCTATCCCACCCAAGTCTATCTTAGAAACCATTATGAAAATGCTATAAAGCACATCAGCAAACAAAATTGACTAGAGGAAAGAGGTTCTGTTAATAATCCTCTTTACACTATCATCATCTTGGCTATTCACAACAAATAAGATCCCCACAACTTGTGTGGAAGCAAGAGTATCTAGTCAATTGGCTACTCTCAAGACTGCAATCACAACTTCCCATAAAGACATAATTCAGCGATTTCCAGCCCTTTGCATATCATACACCTAATGTAGTACAAAAGGCAATCACCACACCTAACTCCCAGAATACCAGGATCATCATCAGAAAAACCTTAGGTTTCAATAGACTGTCTCCCTAACCAAAGGAGGTCCCTAGATGCTTTAGCACTTAAGGAAAATTCATGGAGATCCCTCAGAATTAAATACAGAATACTCTGAAAGAGATCAGTTGATTCCCAAGTTCTTATGCCATCTCTTTTTCATCATGCTTAGCATCTTTCAAAACCTCGGATTCAACTGAAATCATTATTCAGACGTGTACAAAATTAAAGTTTATAGATCATAACCTTCAAAACCAACACATTCCCCTCTTAGTGGAGTATAAAAGAACCAGCTAATACTAAGGGAATTTTTCACAAGATTAAACATAAGACCCAAAAGTGCTAGTCAACCACCACCGAAACCACTCACAACAAGAGACAGAAAACAGAGGTAATGAAGTAACAACTAAGGTGGAATGAGTATTGTTGAACAGCATTATTAGTTAATAGACATGATATAAGGTAATATAGAAATACACCACTCTAAATGGAAGAAGAGCAATACCTCTCCATCAGATCCACGTATAGTGACACGGTATACCACAGTCACACTTCCATTGTCAGAAAATATTACATCACGGATTTCTCCACACCATCCTGCCAAAAAGAGTGTTAACAAGTAATAACATATAGAGAATTATAAACATTCAAAGGGTGGAGGAAATTAAAATTAGTTTACTGTCGGAAATCCACTCTAAATGGCAAGAGAGTAGTTGGCAAAGTTCCTGCTAATTGATTTGAAATGGGTTGGTAACCTTAGGACTCTACCTCAAATTCATAACGCATTGGGGTTTGCAAACCAAACGAATTTGAATCGAGTACAATGCTGAATGCAATACTATATAATGACTCACTAGTCACCGCTAGAGGGCCCAAGCATTTGTATGTGCACATAATATGACATGCCCTTGCCAAAATGCATGAGAAAAATGAAGATGCAGATATCTAATTGCTTGTTGAAAGCAGACATGGATGGATGCATAAGTTGATGAATAGGCTATGGTACTATAGAAAAAACAATAGCAGTTGAAAACACACCAACTACGACGCATTGGTTATAGAAGGGAGTAAATTGATTGCCTAAAATTGTCTGAAAATAATAATTAAAAAAGGTCGAAAGTAAAATTGAAATGATAATAACAAGAAGAAACTGTGATGGTCAAATTGAGAAGCTGAGGTGAAGAGAAGACACACCAGGAGCGTAGAAGCTCAACATCCGGTTCGCATGGTACCTACCCAATACAAAAATACACAAACTTTACATGAGATTTGATTGGAAAAAGAGAAAATCAACAAAACCAGAAAATGAAAACTACCAGGGGATGAAGGTGGAGTGATGGTGAGGAGGTGCTTGGGTGATGTTATCAGGGATTCTCTTGTTGAGGTCTCTGAGGATTTCAGCGAGAGGGCGGGTGATGCAGGAAGAGTTGGAAGACGAAAACGACTTGTCTAACGGCACCACATAGTTGGAATTGGGCACTCCCCCTGCCTTCTTGCCGCCATCGCTGCTGCTGCTGCTCTTGCATGCGATCATACAAACCCCGCCCGCTCTCCTCCGAGCCCAGATTCCAGCTCCGACCAGTCGGGACCGGAGCCGAGCCTCACCGGCCCCAGAGAAAACGGGTACGGACTTTGGGAGCAAGGCATTGCTGCTATTGGTCTGCAAAGCCATTAGAAAGTCCACGAGCAACAACAACAACAGTAACACAGAAAGTCTCTCTCTTTCAAAGATTCAAAGTCTGGGATGGACTGGTGGATGCAAAGATGATCGATCGATGGTTCAAAATCTAACAAAATTGCGAGACGTGTCTGCAAAGATCACACCTTTTTTTTTTCTGAGTATTTTTCGTTGGGGTTTTTCTCATTTACTTACTAGTCTTCCTGTCCGAAACTCTATGACAGTGACAGACCTACTACCATACCCGACCCGACCCCGCAAATGGATCCAGATCCTAAACCCCTCTCAATCTAAAATTATTTTTTGGTTGTTGTCAAAGGACTAACAGCATTTAGTTTTTTTCAAAAGGGAAAAAACTTTGTTGTGGCATATCTACAAGCGTTGGATTGGTTGAATCGTCTATATTTTATAAAGAGTGCTGCTATTTCTATCCACATGTTCTATTTCCCCGCATGCTTATCTTTCCAGCCACCATATAAGAAATGTCACCTAAACTTATACCTCAATTTCAATTTGTCACTTTAAAGAAAAATTTAAGAGAAATGTCACCTTAATTTTTTAAAATTCATGATTTGTCATCTGACTTTAATATCATTCAATTTTTCATACATTTTTAAGGGTATTTTAGTATTTTCATTTCCAAGGGTATTTTAAAAATGGAAAAAATCATTATAACCTTTTTTTTTTTATAAATCTTTTAAACAATTAAAATTGAAAAAAAAAAATTATATCACCTTCCCCCTCCCTGTGCACCACTAGCGGCTCCAACCAACCCTGCTCACCTTGAAATCCATTTCTCCTTCCCTCTTCACAACCCCTTTCTCCTTCTCTATCTACCATGAAACATCTACCCTCCTCCACACACAAATTTCCTCAACCCACCCAAACCGAGTCCACCTTTTTCTTTTTCTTTTTTATTTTTGGTATTTTTCCATTTCCATGCTCAAATGAACACCAAAAAAAAAATTATACATGCAAAGAGAGAGAGAGAGAGAGAGAGAGAGAGAGAGAGAGAGAGAGAGGCTCATGTCCAATGTGTTTTGGGGGTAGGTGGGGGAGAAAGGGAAAGAGGTCACTTTTTTCTCTCTTTTATTTTCTTGAAAATAGAAAGATTAAAATACTCTTAAAAATGGATGGAAAACTGGATGATGTTAAAGTCATATGACAAATCATGGATTTTGAAAAATTAAGATGACATTTCTCTTAAATTTTTCTTTAAGATGACAAATTGAAACTGGGGTATAATTCTAAGTGACATTTCTACAAAAATCCCTTTGAAAAAACACAAACATATCTTTCCACCCCCATTATTCCTAAAATACCCTTTAATATTTGCCATTGTTGGCGCTAAATCTGAACAGATAGAGATGAGTGCAACTTACAAGAGATGTGGACGATCTAGGAGATCGATTGAGTGGTAAATGGAGATTCTTCCTGTCTTCAGATGCTGATCCTGAATAGAAGATAAGTGAAGCTCGTGAGGTCTATGGAACCGGTGTGGAACTAGCCTAAGACCCTCCGATGCTCAAGTAAGATTGTTTTTAAGAGCTCTTGCTGTTGACCATATAGAAGTATAAAAATCAAGCTGAAAAGTCTTACCCCTGTATTGTAGTGGAGGGGCCTATTTATAGAGGGCATTTTATATGCTCTTGGTGCTCATTTTCGATGTGGGACTCGTGGGAGGGCCTTCTGAGGTTGACACGAGTCTTTAGATATTTTGGGCGGATACTTCGAGGTTGATTCTCTACAATCGGTAAGGGAT